ATACCGATAATCATCATGCTACAAAAAACCGACTAGTAATAATACTAATCTAGTATTCTAATTTGAATTGTGTCGGACTAATACTACTAGTACCAATATCATACCAAATCATCCTATATACTAGTAAGAATACTACTATATAATATAACAATTAGGATTGTGTCGGACTTGTTGCAGTGTACAATGTAGAGGCCTTAATAATTAGCATAAGGTTTGGGCGGCCCGTTATACCATAATTATAATAAGGACCCCTCCCAAAATAATATAGGTGATAATGACCCTAAGCCCTAAACCTTAAGCCCCTAAACCCTAAAATCCCTGAACCCGAAAACCTAAACCCTAAACCCTAAACCCTAAACCCTAAACCCTAACCCTATCGTAAACTTCGTCAGGCCCTGCTGAGGACGAAGCTGCAGCCGCTTGCTGGGCCCTGGCCTGGCTCTCCGGCGCTTTAAGAAAAACTTAGGGTTTAGGGTTTAGGGTTCAGGGATTTTAGGGTTTAAGGTTTAGGGTTTAGGGTTTAAGGTTTAGGGTTTAGGGTTTAGGGTTTAAGGCTTAGGGGTTTTAGGGTTTAAGGGTTTAGGGTTTAAGGCTTAGGGATTTTAGGGTTTAAGGTTTAGGGATTTTAGGGTTTAGGGGTTCAGGGATTTTAGGGTTTAAGGTTCAGGGATTTTAGGGATTAAGGTTTAGGGTTTAGGGTTTAAGGGTTTAGGGTTTAGGGTTTAAGGCTTAGGGATTTTAGGGTTTAAGGTTTAGGGATTTTAGGGTTTAGGGGTTCAGGGTTTAGGGGTTTAAGGTTCAGGGATTTTAGGGTTTAAGGTTTAGGGTTTAGGGTTTAAGGGTTTAGGGTTTAGGGTTTAAGGCTTAGGGATTTTAGGGTTTAAGGTTTAGGGATTTTAGGGTTTAGGGGTTCAGGGATTTTAGGGTTTAGGGGTTTGGGATTTTAGGGTTTAACGTTTAGGGTTTAGGGGTTTAGGGATTTTAGGGTTTAGGGATGTTCGGGTTTAGGTTTTAGGGATTTTAGGGTTTAGGTTTTAGGGATTTTAGGGTTGAGGGGTTTGGGATTTTAGGGTTTAAGGTTTAGGGTTTAGGGTTTAAGGTTTAGGGTCCTAATTACCTATTCTATTTTGGGGGTTCCTTATCATCGTCATTGTAATAATATACCCCAAAACCCTCTTCGAATTATTAAGGCTCCTACACTAGTCTGGACGCGTGGAAGACGATGAGATACCCTAAGATAAGACAGGACCCCAAATGTGATCTTTAAAGTGCATGCCTTATTTGGGGGTTATATGAAGACCGTATAGGACCTTCTGCACGATAACTACGGGTATGCGTTTTCGACCAGGTTTTGGAATTAGGCTCTGGGGCGTATACCCCACACAGTGTGACACATGTGACACACGCACACACTATGGGGGTTCCAATGATAAGAGCAAGCATATCTAGGTTAGACCTTAACCCCAAAGAACCTCCCAAATACTTGTAATATAGGTAATCATGACCCTAAACCCTAAACCCTAAACTCTAAACCCTTTTTTCGGACAACCTACCTAAACCCTCAACCCGAAACACTAAACCCCTAACCCTAAACTCTAAACCCTTTTAAGGACTTATGTAAAGAAAATACAATACGGAACCCTATAAAAGGTAGGTTACTTGGGGTCCAGGGAGTCCTTGCGAGGGGGAACCTGCCGGTTCGCAAATCCCGCTGTTCAACGGCTCATACCGTTGATGATATACATCCTGCATTACCCTTTTGGGTTTAGGGTTTAGGGGTTTAGGGGTTTAGGGTTTAGGGTTTAGGGTTTAGGGTTTTGGGGGTTTCCGAAAATAGGGGATCCTAATATAGTACCCTAAATAGTCGGATCCTTAATATAAGGACCCCAAAGCAACGTACGTACCCTAATCTTCGGAAACTCCCATATTCATAAGGAGTATACCATAATTCCCATAGTTACAGGGGCCCTTAAGATAATGCAGGATTTATATCATCATTCAAAGCTGTGGAGTTGAAGATTTCGATGGCTCGTTCTCAAAAAAGTCCTCAGAAGTGTGATTGATTAAGGGATCCCACCCATAAACGGGGATCTGTCTTGTTTGGATCGAAGCGCCTGGTTTCATGTAGGGTTCACCACTGTAGAAACTACATTGCCAGCAAGAAGAGGTATCAGCCCGAAGCCCTACTTAAAGGATCATGGGACTTAGTAAGTAGGGTGTTAATTAAGGTAACTATACTTATATTTACCTATAACCCCAATTAAGGGACTTATAACCTTACTGGCTAAGTCCCACGATCCTCCAAGTATTTATAAATACTGGAACCCAAAATCTCCTCAATGCCCAGAATAGCAGGACATGTCCCGACACTCCACATCGCAGTGCAGAGTGCAGACCCTCAAAAATCTCGACTGCAGAGGCCATAAAGGGGTTTAGGGTGTTTAGGATACCCAAATCCTAAACCCTTAGCTGCTTAGGGCTTGGGCTTTTTTGGGGGAAGGGAGAAAGTCGAAGCCCCCCAGAAAAGCCCCCAAATGCCGCATCTACGCCCTCAGGCCCGATAGGAGTGTTTGACGCTCGTTGCAAGCCCTGATGAGGCGTCAGAGGCGCCTACCGAAAATCCAATCAGGCTTGTCTTCCTTCCTAACGCTGTTGCTTTCATGGTATCGAGGGTTACCTGTTTCAAGAGAAGTTTAGGGTTTAGGGTTTAGGGTGTTTCAAGAGAAGTTTACAACAACAGGCTCCCCTGCAAGGAACTACAAAGCCGAACCCTAAACCCTAAACCAAACCCTAAGCCCTAAGCCCTAAGCCCTAAGCCCTAAGCCCTAAACCCTAAACCCTAAACCCTAAACCCTAAAGTTCTAAACCCGAAACCCTCAACCCTAAGGTCCACCATTTTGAAACATTCCTGGACGGCCTCACCGAGCTCCGCTCAAGTTAGACCCGATCTGAGGTTTAGGGTTTAGGGTTTAGGGTTTAGGGTTTAGGGTTTAGGGTTTCCCTGTAAGGACATGGCAAGTCTTCCGTGTCTCTACAAGCTACCCGCACAAGTCTACAGCCCCTGAAGGGACATGGGAGTTTTAGAAAATTAGGGTACCTTATGTTGGGGTCCTTATAATAGGGATCCTATTATTTAGGGTACTATATTAGGGTCCCTATTTTCGGAAGCCCCCATGTCTCTACTACAAGCTACCCGCAAAAGGCTACAGCCCCTGAAGGGATATGCCTACACTGACCAATAAGATGCTCATGGAAGCCTTGTAGCAACCTGTATAGCAACCAGAATACTTGTAGCAATCCTTCTGTAATCACAATCTCGAAACCCGAAAACCCCGAGGTACCGGAGGCCCATCTGACCCGTCTACTGAGCCATGCCCTCACGAACATTGGCGTAGGCCAATCACTTCGGTCGACGAACTACCGGGTTGCAATTGCAATTTGAGTTTACATGGGGGGGGGGGGTGGGGGCAGAAATCATAACTAAGGTTTCGAGTCAAATAGAGTTTATTGGGTACTCAGAAATAAGGGCGCATGGCTTTCATAGCCACTTCAAGCCGAACAGAACACGCACAGCTGCGATTTTCAGGCTTCCGGTGCTCAGGGTTTCCCCACCCTGGCGACCTCACATCGTAGAGCCCTAGAACCCCGGAGCCTTTTCAGGTGCAGGGACGGTTTAGGGTTTAGGGTTTAGGGTTTTAGAGGCGCCCCTAAGTTAAAGGAAACTACAGGTGGGGAAATTATGGTATATAGGGCTTCTATAAGGCTTCTATAAGGTCTATAGACCTTCTATACGGCTCCCATAACGGGAACTGCCCACCTGAAAATGTCCTAGACTAAGCCTCAACCATCATAGTCCCCAGACCCCAAACCGAAGCGGAAGCAGAAGAGATTCAAGGACCGCCGGGGCTTGTACGTGTGGCAGCGAGAGAAAGGAAGCTCTCAAGGTATTCTTGATGAGCTCAGGTCTATGTTTCCGAAGACTGAAATCACTCAGGGTTGGTTTTGGGTTTCTGGGGTTCTTAGCCATTCGGGTGTTGAAGTATTTCTGCGAGTGGTTGGAAGAGTTGGGAGAAAGATTGGAGTGCTTGGAGTTCATGTTCGGGTTTTGGGTTCATGAGCACAAGGTTTGTTCTTTTGGGGTTCAGTCTTCTGAAACACCCATGTTGACTAATTCAGATAGGTCCAGGGACGCCTAGATGCTCATCTGCGCATGTCAATACGTAGCATTCCTGATAGGTGTCTTGTGATAATGATGAGGAGTCGCACACTGCGTTCGCCCGCGAAGCTTCACAGGAGGTCCTTACGTAGTCTTAAGTTCACATGGCAACGCTTTCCGATGAGATCATTTTGTGCCCCGGGCTCATAAATAAACACGCTCACGACTGCAAGTAATATAGAGGCCTGATGATTAGAATAGGGTTTTGGGCCCATTATACTATAACCAAAAATAAGGAGCCCCCAAAACCCTATTCTAATTTTTAAGGCCCCTACATTACAGTGCCAGACAGACTGCCCTCTGACTGGCCAAGTTGTAAAAATCGTCAAACAGTCTGTGGTCTTAGGGTTTAGGGTTTAGGGTTTAGGGGTCAAAGGCATGACTGCGTCGGGGCATACCCCCGGCAGGACTTTGCAAACACTTGAAAACACCTAGATTTCACCGACCTTCGCCACCCAGCACCATGGAATGCTCGTCGGACGATGCTGCAATACCAGGGGTCTGGAGTTTGGAGTTTAAGCATTGATTTTATGTGCCGTTGTCACCAAGGCAAGTGAAATCAAAAGCACCCGAAACGGGGCCAGTGGGCTGAAGCTTCTGCCGCAAAAGCCATAATCAAAACTCGGCAGGGGAAAGGCTACAACGCAGTGCATTACTTAAATGGTCAGTGGACCGAGTAAACAGGTTTGAGTAAGTTTGGCAATGATGTAAAAAAAAGTAGGGCGCTGACCATGCTCGTGATAACCTGATTACTATGTCCCGGTCTCCTTTAAGTAAAGGCAGCTCACTGGTGCCAGCATCTATACCAGACGATGCTTGCAAAAATGCCTGCGCAGCCGATCCAGAGAAATACCAACCAAACACTTCCAGTATAGGCACCAACTGCACACATGGCTCCCACCACGGTTAAAGCCGACATCACCAGAAAGATCATCAATGTCTGAAGGTGCCCGGTCCATCCTCCACTTGGACTCACGATGCGCTTGCTCACAAAATCCAGAAAGACCATACTGGCTGGAAGCCAAAGCATGTTGTTTCCTACCACCACACTCACGAAGTAGGACAGGATACTCTCCGCCGGTGCTCCGCCTTTGCAGAGGGCAAGGAAGCCCTCTAAACACAATGCGTTGATGGGCGTCGTGCCGAGGAAGATGTAGGGAAGTGTGAAGCCACAGGGCTTCACAATGCCCAGGACCTCTTGGCGGAATCTGCCTCGCACGTACTCAGAGAAGGCTTCTAAGCTCCCATACCAAGGTACAATGGCATTGAAAATGGCTTGTCGATCGAAGTCATTTGTGCAATCTACACGACCGATGCTGAAAGACTTTGACAAGATGCCTTTTCGCAGTGCATGCATTGCAGGCAGAAGAGAACATGCGGCTAGCATGAACATGCCCCCTACCAGAATCGTCTCTGGCCCGTCTGCAAGGCCTTGCCTATGGTACCAGTATACAGCGCTGAAGCAGTGCGTCCATATGTAGATTTGGCAAAGTACCTCCTCAACGTTGATATCACAATCTTTCCGGTTGGGTTGAGCTTGCGGTATGCCGCAATTTCGAAGATGCACCAAAGACGTGTCCTGACTCCGCAATGCCAAGATGCACTGAAGGGGGGAGTAATTGTGGTTTAGGGTTTAGTGTGAAAGAGGGTAGGGTAATATGTATACCCGAAAAGGTTGCCTACTCACCTCACTACTCAGCCCATAAGGCTTTCCAGAAGCCTAGAACAGCTCTCACTTGAACCCTAAACCCTAAACCCTAAACCCTAAACCCCGGTTTAGGGTTTAGGGTTTAGGGTTCAGGGTTTAGGGTTTAGGGTTTACGACCACAGCATGAGACTCAAAGCCAGCAATCGACAGGAGCAAGCGGCAGGTATGGTCCGCTCCAAAGAACGTGCAACTGCGATGATGCACCTTTCAGGCTCTTTAGGGTTTAGGGTTTAGGGTTTAGGGTACCATGCTACAATGGTAACTTTTAGTACCCCTAATATCAAACAAAGGCTAATCCTAAAAGTGATAAAGCTATAGCGACTGTAAAGCTCAACCAAGGCACTGAGAAAGGATCCGATGTTGTTAATCCCCTGTTGCATCTCCGCTTCGTCTGTCTGATGAATGCAGGCAACATCAAGAAAGCAGATATCCTTACTTGTCCAGGTTGCAGAGAAAATAACTAGCCAGCTTCACTGAAAGAAGAATACTAGACTGTCGAAGCAGGTGCTAATGTAGGGGCCTTAATAATTAGAATAGGGTTTTGGGGCCCATTATACTATAATTATGGTAAGGACCCCCCAAAATTAATATAGGTAATTATGACCCTAATCCCTGAACCTTAAACCCTAAACCCTAAACCCGAAAATTCCCTAAACCCCTAAACCCTATTAATTGAGGCCCCTACGATACGGCTACTGATGACTCGGCTAAGCCAAGTGTCTGACCACCCAGGCGACAAGCATGGAGCGGTAAGAAAACCTCCCAGGGCAAAGATGGCACCGAAGACCATCAGCCAACATCCGACTGCGGTGTCCGCGTGGAAAGATATCGCAAGACTCTGCCAGCTCGCCAAGAGAGGAAGTATGTCAAACATGCAAAGGAGGAAGGAGAGCGCAATACCAAAGCACCAAGCAAGCAACATGAAAGTGCAGCCCCTTTGGAGAAGCAAGGAAAGAACTTTCCATCGTCCGGGGGTCAGCCAAGTGTGTGAAAAGAAGATGTCGAAGTGTTCCTAGGTTCCCCAGTAGCCCCTTGATAATAAGGGTAGCCTTTTTCCTACTAGTTCGTTATTTTAATACGGGAACCCAAAAAGAGAAAGGGCAACAGGGTACTACCCTAAACCCTAAACCCCAAACCCTAAACCAACAGGGTACTTCTGAGAACCTAGGTTCCACAGGGTGGGAATGGCCGTTGAGCTTCGAGCGTCGTTGAAGGCTTAACTCAGCAGGCCTGATCTCAAGACAAAGAGGGCTTTCAGTTTAGTGAGGGCCCCGAAACCCTGTTGTAATTATTAAGGCCCCTACAGTATTTTTGATTTCACAAGCCTACCCATAGGCCCCATAGTAGTTCCTTTTGGGGCTCATATTTAGAATCCTATAAGGTAGGTGGGGGCTTATGGTTTAGGGTTTGGGGTTTAGGGCTTAGGGTTTTAGGGTTGCTCCTGAATAAAATAGATTCCTACTATGGGATCCCCGCTAAAGCCCCAGTTGCTACAAGCGCGTTTTTGGACTCATGTGGGCCTGTATCGCCAGATTCGGCCTGCCCGCCGCATAGTATCCCGCAGCCGAACTCCTCGAAGAATTTCTGCCGTGCTCCGCGTGAGATCTACAGTAGCAGGTGGCTCAGCCAGTTCACACTGACCACCAGGAGCTTGACTGTCAAGCCTGCGCTTCCCATAATTCAGTGTTGATACGAAACCCCAAAACCCAAAACAAAACCCCCTTTTGGCAGTTTCTTATATTTCGGTTTCTAGAAATCATTAATTCCTCAAAAAGGTAGGTCTTTTAGGTTACAGGCGAACCCTAAACCCTATGCCCCCAAACTCTACGGCCCAGAACCCCATAACCCCTGAACCGTGAAACCCTAACCCTGAGGCTAAATTCCAACCCAGAAAGACTTAGCTGCCCAGTATCCTGGCCCACAAAAGTTTAAACTTTTTTAAGTAGGGGTTTAATATACCAAAAAAGTTTAAAGTTTACCGATTGGGCTCCTAAGAAGAGAACACGGCAGTACAAAGTAAAGGGGGACCTAGCAGCTCCGGCTCGCCACCACGCTCCAAGAGGTGAAGTCCAAAACGGAGGCGTGTGACTCAACTTCTTCGATCTCGCATTGCTCACCTTGGCGGTTTAAGCTTTGGGGCTGAGGGTTTAGGGTTTCCAAGCATCCCCTTCAATCACGGCTTTCATAAACGGAAACCCCGAAAAACAAAAGGCTACATAAAAGGTAATGTAGGGGCCTTAATAATTAGAATAGGGTTTTGGGGTAAATTATACTATAGTTATAACAAGGAACCCACAAAATAGTATAGGTAATCATTCAGGTCCCTATAGTACTATTGCGGTACCTGGTCACTCTTGGAGCAGCAGCTACTGCTTTGCTTCTGACCCATGGCTCCAGTCTTGGCAGACAGACTTGGCTGACTTCTGAACCCCTCCTAAAGGTTTAGGGTTGTTTAGGGTTTAGGGTTTAGGGCTTAGGGTTTAAACTTTTAGCCTACTTTTTGTGGCTCATAGAGAAACCCAAGAAGTTAAAGTCCTAAGAGCCAACCAGAAGAACGCCAAGAAGAGGTGGCACAAGATCCTATTCCATAAAAACAGCCTTTGCTCCTGTGAACAGACTCGAAGCTATATTTTTGAAAGTTGTTCGGTGTGATCTCTACGCGCCGCAGATCATACGGCTTACCCGTCCGCAATCAATGCCCGAACTAGGCGAACTAGGCTTCTGCAACTGTCGCATGGATTCCACTGGAAGGGGTCAGCTTGTGCTTTGGAGCCGTTCTGTACCGATGCGGCGCACGGCCTCTGCGTCATGAATCCACTTCTCTTGACCCTAAACCCTGAACCCTAAACCCCTAAACCTTAAACCCCTAAACCCTAAACCCTAAACCCTAAACCCTAAACCCTCAACAACTGGCGCCTTTCATCCCAACCCCAAACCAGGCCACTAAATCCCAAACCCTACGACCCCAACCTAATCCCTCAAAGCCTGAACCCTGAATAAAACCCCAAACCCCAAAACCCTGAACCCCAAGCCCTAAACCCTAAACCCTAAACCCCAAACCCCAAACCCCAAAACCCTGAACCCCAAGCCCTCGGCTGTGGATCCCAAGTTCCAACATCCTAATGGAGGCCCTTAGGGTTTAGGGTTTAGGAGTTTAAGGGTTTAGGGTTTAGGGGTTTAGGGTTTAGGGTTTAGGGGTTTAGGGCCTTAGTAATCAGAATAGAGTTTGGGGGCTGGTTGTAGTATGATTCTATGGAAAGGAACCCTGAGAAATGGTGTTTCGGATCCGAACCCTAAACCTCAAGCCCTAAACCCTAAACCCGAAACCCTAAACCCTGCCTTAAGAACCCAAAACCTACTTTTTTGTAGGGTCCCTATAAATCCCATATTAGGGTTTAGAATAAGAACCTACAAAAAGGGGGTTTCGGGTTCTTAAGGTGAACACTAAACCCTAAACCCACTGGGACCTTCCCACCACGAAGGAGTGCTCGGAGCTAGTCTCACTGCAGACGTCGCAGTCTGCTGGGAGCCTCCTGCATTCGTTGTTGCTTCCGTGGTCGTGCATTTTAGGGTTTACGGCTTAGTTTAGGGTTTAGGGTTTAGGGCCTTACATGTTCTTTCAAGCCGTTTTTGTGCGGTATATCACGGCACTCAAACCTCTACTTATATCTGCCACAGACTACCACTAACCTTTTTCGAGCAGGGATCCATCTATGCTGCCACTGCAGAACTGTGAAGTTAGCTTCAAAAACTAGCTTGGCATGGTCTTCCTAAACAGAAATGGGAGTTTCCGAAAATTAG